AAATTAGCACCGAGTCTTTTCCACAGTTTGTGCTCAGTGGGTCACATGTAACAGTGAGTGTACAGAATCCATTGATCACTATGTCATATATTTATCTAACATAGTCATACCTACAGAGAAACTCAACTATTTTCTTTTTTTTACTTTTTTTTTAAAAAAACCTCTTTGGTGTGCTTATTTTTCTTTTTTTTTGGGGGGGGGCGGGTCTTGCTATGTAACTCAGGCTAATATGGAACTTGCTATATAGCCTTGGATAGCCTCAGACTTGCATCAGTCTTCTTGCCTTAGCCTTTGAAGTGCTAAGAGTCTAAGTTTGTACCACCATGCCTGGTTACCAATAAATCTTTTATTGTTTTTGAGACAGGGTCTCTCTACATAGCCCTGGCTGTCTTGGAACTCACTATGTAGACCAGACTGGCCTTGAACTCAGAGATCCACCTGCTTCTGCCTCTAGTGCTGGGACCAAAGGTGTGCAACTATATATGCCTTGATTATTTTCTTTTATTCAAAAAAATTTATATATATATAAAAAAGTACATCGCCCCTACATACCCTTTCCTCTTCTTAAAAAACAAACAAACAAACAAACAAAAAACCCTTTGAGACATATAGCCCAGGCTGGCCTCAGACTTAACTATGTAGTAGTCAAGGGTGACCTCAAACTGCTGATCCTTTGGCTTTTATCTCCCAAGTGCTGAAATTACAGTACCCAACTGCATTTATGGGGTGCTGAGGATGGATGGAACCCAGGGCCACATGCAGGCTAGGCAAGCAATACCAGCTGAGTCATATTTTTCTTTCTTTCTTTTTCTTCTTCTTTTCCTTTTTGAGACTACATAGCACAGGCTTGTAAATTGAAGTCTCTAATTTACTTCCTGAGTGCTGGGATTATAGGTGTGAACCACCACACCCTCTGATTTTACTTCATTTAGACAAAAAGTTAGTCTGGGACTACCAACATTTCTAGAGACGTCTAGGTAATGTTGTAAGCAATCGAAGCAATGACCACTACTCTATTCTATCTCTGCAGTCTGAGAAGCATGGGAATGAGGCTTAGCCTGGACCATTAGGGATAAAAAGGGACACAGACATTTACAAAGGCAGGACATGTATTTAGTTTATGATTTGTGTAGGATTTTTTTGTTTGTTTCTGTTTTTTTTTTTTTTTTTGAGACAGGGTTTCTTTGTGTAGCCTTGGCTGTCCTGGAACTCACTCTGTAGACTAGGCTGGCCTCAAACTCACAGAGATCCACCTGCCTCTGCCTCCTGAGTGCTGGGATTAAAGGCATCCACAACCTCTGCCCGGCATGTTTTGTGTTTTTGAGACAGGACCTCACTTTGTAGCTGAGGTTGGCCTCAAACTCACCATCCTCCTGCCTCTACCTCCTGAGTACTGGGATTATATGTGTGAACCACCACCTGGCAAGGGTCGTGGTAGTTGGATATTGAAATGCCCCTTTACAGATGCACACAGCTATCTGAGGCAAACAAATAGGGGGATGCTCAGAGAATGAGACCCCTACATAACCCGCAGAGGGGCAACAAAGTCAGACAGTGCATAGGCTGGGAGGAAAAAGGGTGCAGGCAGACATAAGTCATGAAGATACCTAGCAATGAGACAAGAGATTCTAGCTACACAGACCTAGGACCCCTCTAGGTCATAATACCCTTCTCTTTCAGCTCACCTGTTCTCCTGGACCAGCTCTGTCGAAGGCTGGGGCCCAGAACCAGGCCCCAAGAGGCTAGGCCCCAATCTGCCCCAGCCCCAGAAAAGCTACCCCATCACCCATCCCCTTCCCTGGCCTGGTGGGGCCTTGCTTTGGGGCAAGATTGAGCCACAGGGGAAGGGGGGAACCCATACCTGCTGCTGTTTCCTCGGACTTGGCTAACTCTATTCCCCCTGAGCCCCTAACCATACCTGAAGAACTCCCAAAGCTTGAGACCAGGGCCATTTGGCCCCAACTTCCTGCCTGGCCCTGCTGTTGCAAGTCTGTTATTTATTACCTGGAGGCCTGCTCCATCCTGTCCCGGTCCTCCATAAAGCATTGTTTACACCTGTGTTTTTTTGCCTCTGTCATTCTGAGATGAGGAGATAGAAGAGGTCCTTGATGGAAATGCTATGAGTGGGGCTTTGCATGAGGAACCACGTTTCCGGTGGGACTTGGTTTGTGGATGTATTGGGGGTACACACATACTCACTGAGGCCAGGGTTTATCATTGTGCATCTGTCATTTCTTTGGTTTTTCCTAGACTCCACCCCCCCTTTTATTTTGACACAGGGCCTTGTTATTGCCCAGACTAACCTGGAGCTGAAGTCTCCCTGCGTTAACCTCCCACATGTTGGGGTTACACGTGTGTCCATGCCCAGCTTGTGTACATACTCCATGGCAGTGCCCAATCGATCGAAGCTGGTGTGTGCAGCAGTGACATCCCTGTGTGTGAGTCTTTCCAGGATTCCTGTATGGGGCGGTGTCAGTAGGGACATGTGATGCTGTGGCACATGAGTGGTCTCTGTCCTGGTGATTGTGTTGGTGAGGCTGCAACAAGACCAAGGAATTGGGGACCATAAGGGGGCCTTGATTCTGGACCAGGTTCAACTAGTATATGTATCATGTCTGCAAGTTAGGACAGTGGCTGTGTGTTGCTGAGAACATGTGCTCCTGAGATTTGTGTGTGCTCTGGTGTGGATTTGTTTCTGCGTGCGTGCGTAAAACCTCCGTGTTCCACAGTGGTTCTTTGTGCAACCCAGACTCCTGGTCATACTCGATGCTGATGTCTATCTCCTTATCTCCTTGGGCCCTGAAATCTTTATATGGGCTTTTGGAGACTGGTGCAGCCCCCCCAGGAGAGCTTCGGCTGCTCTCCCAAAGCGTCAGCAACCCATTGATTGCCCACCTGGTAGGAAGGGGTGAGGCATTCAAGTGACCCTGTCCACATAGCTCTCCTAGGAACAGTGGCATTAATGTTATGTGTAGCTTAGTGGTAGCGCGCTTGCATTGCATGTGCGAAGCTCTGGATTCAGAGGAGCCTGGTTTTGCAAATGTCTTCTCCACGAGGCTGTCCCAGGTTGCTTTAATCTGACTCCCACGTTGCCCTGAGGGAGTAGGGTGGAGAGGGTCATGCAAATAGTACATATTTGCTCATTTGTTCTACCCGACTTTGCTTCTCGTAAGGACATCCCGTACTCACCGTTATTTTTTTTAAGTGCTTATGTAAATTACTGACGTAGGAATTTACATACACTTTCCAACTAACTGCGCAGTCATTTCTCAATATCCCCTTGGGTTGTGAGGAGGAGCTGCCTATGTAAACGATATATTTGCATAGCAAATACCAACAGCCCAGCTACTAGCCATTCACTGACACTTTCTGCTGGGGGGGGGCTTTCTATGTGAAACGTCTCGTTTGCACACACACACACACACACACACACACACACACACACACACACACACACACA